GGCGCGGTCCTTCCGCGACCTAATGTAGTCTTCGCACCTGGGGATCTTAATCCCAAGGGTTTCCAGGGAGTGGCAGTCAGGAAGGGGCTTGAAGCCCAAGCCCTGCCGTCCCGAGCAATCCAATGCGCGGCCGCCAAGGATGAGCCCATGCCAATCCGAGGTTCCTTTCGCGGCTATTTTACAGCGCACGAATATCTCTGGACCCTCGCTGCAGTTGTCGGGGGAGAGCCCCTCCAGAAAGCGAACTCTCAGCACGACGGCCCCCTTCAGGGGCACCGGCTTCCCTGCAGCGATCCCATGGACGAACTCCGGATGCACCCAGCGTTCGAACTTCACGACAGGAAACCTCCGGTCCTCCGTGCCGATCCCCAAGGCAGCAGCCCGGTTGAGGATCCCACAGAGGAGTTCCTCCGTGATGTGGTTCGAGCCTGCACACCCGTCCAGCATGCATTCCACCCTGCCGTCGATGACCTGCACGACTGTTCTGTACTGGTACCCCCCGACCTCGTTCTCGCAGAGGTGCCACCAGTCCTGAGGCAGCTCGTCCAACGAGCTGAACTTCGACGACGAGCTCTTGGCAATCGGGAAAGCGGAGGAGTTCGCCGCAACAACCGTGCCAGCGCTCCCAATCTGGATGGAGAGCGTAGCGAAGGGATTCACCATCCCGGCGCCACTCGGGGCCGCCCAGTTCGAAGGCAACGCGGCTCCCCCAGTGGCGGGAAGCGAATGGCCCATGTCACAGTCCGCTCCCTTACGGCACGACCCGTTCTTCTTGAAGAAAGGGCAGATAGTCCCTGGCGGCTTCGCGCCCGCCTTGGACTGCGCCTTGGGCTTGGCCTTGGCCTTGCCTTTGGGCTGCCCTCCGGGTCCACCCTTGCCCTTGCCCTTGCCCTTCCCCGGCGTTGTCGCCAGGGTGGACGCGTCCCGCTCCTTCTTGGCCGCGAGGGCCTTTTTGCGGAGCTCCTTGTCGTGCGAGTAAGGGCACGCGTCCCCTTTTGGGCAGTTCCCGTGGTCGCGGAAATGGAAACAGATAGGCTTACCTTTTCCCTTTCCTTTCGGACCAGCGGCAAGCGTGGAAGAGGCGGCCGCCTTGGCCGCGGCCTTAGAAGCCTTGAGCTCCGTCCTCAGCTTCTCGACCTCCTTCCGCGCGGCGGACAGGGCTGGGTCTTCCGTCGAACCTGCGTACACGCTATTAGCCGTCACCCGATGCGCAGCCTCACGCTGCTCATATTCGAGGACGACCTTATGCGCTTCTTCCCAGGTCGAAGGGCCTCGAAGCCCTGCGTATGCGCCGTCGCTAGGCCACAACCGCTTATCACCGCGGATCTCCTTCTGGAGATGTGGAGGCATCTTGCGCAAGTAGCTTAGGAAGAGCTCCCTCGCTGTCTTGCCAAAACCCACACTCTCCAGCTCCGCGATGGAGGCCTCAAACAGGGGCTCGAACTGGTGCCCTGTGAGACGGCCCTTAGTGAGGGCGACGTGCTCCGCGTCCACCCTCCTCTCCTTCTCTTCTCGGCTCTCGCCGAAGACAAGGTGCCGCTGCTTGATCCTTTCGTAAACGGCTTGGGGATTCTCAGTAACTTCCCCGGTCTTGGAGGCAGCCTTGTACACGTTAGTAAAGGTCTTAAGCCTCGAGCCGCGGCAGCGAGCACGAAGGGCGATGAGCTTCTCCCGGAAATTCATCCCCTTGCAGTTGTTGGCAAGGCCACAGACGTCCTCGAACTCTTCGTAGAACTGGACCACGTCCCGAACATCGGAGCGATCGTCGGTGAGCGAGGGCCATTGGAGGTCCGTCTTCACTGTCGTGATCGACGTCTGACCTCCGCGAGACGCCAAGGCTTCCTTGAGCGCCTCCGTCTGGGCCGCCAACGCAGCAGCGAGCTCTCCGGCTCCGCCGCTGGTGGAGGGAGGCTCGCCGGGTTGTCCTTCTTAAGCCCTTCGAGCTCTGTCTCCAGAGCCGCAAGGCGGGACTTCAGGGGTGATTCCCCGGGACCAGGTTGCGGATCCTCAGGGATCGCGAGCTGAAGGTCCACCGGGAGGGGCGCGGGAGCCCCGGACTTGGACCCCGACGCCGCAACGGCGCCCGTCCGGGCCGCCAGGGCCGGAACAGACGACGGAGTACTCCAGATCTTCTCCGCATCGCCGCTGCTCTTGCCTCCCAGGGCCAAGATCAGCTCACCGAGGCACGAGATCTCCTTCTCGACCTCCTCTCGGTCTTCCGACCCAAGAGAAACCGCAGCAACGGTAAACCTGGTGCGCAGAGCCCGCACCATCCTGGCAGGGTGCCAGTCACCTCCCATATTGCCGTACTCTTCGGCGAGGATGGTGGCCTTGGTGGTGATCTTCTCAAGATCCTCCACCGTGACCTCTGCCTGGTGCGCCTTCAAGGCCACAACCAGCCTTGAAACCCGCGTCAGGTAATCCGCGACCGGTTCCTGGTCGGGACGGTAGAGCTCCCGCAGGTCCGCCTGCAGGGTCTCCGCCGTGACGGGACCACCCGTCCCAGCAGACGAGGGAGGCCCGGAACGGGCCGGGCCGCCGGCCACCGGCTAGAGAGCAAGCGCACCAACACGGCGCGCCGTCTCGGCCACGTCCGCCGGCGCAGCGGCAGGACGCGGAGCCGGTACCCCGGCCTCCGGCAGAAGCTCTTCAGAGCTGGGGCCCGGATCTCCATCCTGAGCACCCGGGCCCGCTTCCGCAGCTGGAGCTTCCTCATCTTCCTCTTCATCTTCTTCCTCTTCCTCTTCGGCATCGAAGTTGTCGTAGAGGAATTCCATCGTCTCCTTCCACAGACGCTGTTCCTCTGCTAGCGTCGTGGATCGTCCGTCCTTCTTCTTGGTGGGACGGGACCCCGTTTCCTTACGCCAACGGAGCCAGTACATAAAGGGCATCTTCTCCGGGTACTCCACTCACCCATCCTCGATGCACCTCAGCAACGTGGCTCCTTCCGGCTGACCTGCGACCTCAGCGCTCATGGTCGCCTAGCGAAGGAGAGAGCCCCGTGCCACACAGGACCACGGCCTCAAGGCGCACGACAAGCGCGCCTTCGAGGCCACGTTAAAAGATTGCGGCGCAGCAGCCGCCTGGGTGGCCGTCTCCCAGAACAGCCCCCAATTGTGGAGAACGGAAACCCAAAGGGGCAGCACGCACCCTCGTTTTCCGTCCAAGCAGAAAGTCCAACGACCGTGACAGGTCGAACGTCCGCCCAGGACGGGCTGCGCGCAACTGCGTCGCGGCAACGAGAAGCTACCAACGACACACTGCCGTGCTCACTTGAGCCAAAAATGTTATGAATACGAATTACAGAAGAGCATGCATAAAAGCATACAGCACAACAGCCAGCCCGCAGACTATGTACAGTCACATACTACTACTACTACTACTCCTACTACTACTACTACTACTACTACTACTACTACTACTACTACTACTACTACTACTACTACTACTACTACTACTACTATACTACTAGTTACTACCACTACTACTACAACTACTACTACTACTACTACTACTACTACTACTACTACTACTGCTACTGCTACTGCTACTGCTACAGCTTCTGCTACTACTACCACTACTTCAACCGCCACCACCACTACTATTACTTGTGGCTGTACGTGTGAGTTTTCCTCAGATCATTCGCATTACCGTGATATTTGTTCTGCGCTTACCGGGTTTCTTTGTGCAAGGTGCTCAGCTACTACAGACAGTTAACGTTAGCGCGGCTTGCCATTTTCCTGTTGATGCTTTGACAAGGCAAGATCAACATACACAAGATGCAAACATCAGTGCAATACGATATAATACCATGAAGACTGCAATCTGGATGATGTTCTTGTTCACGAGGTCTGCTTGCTATTGCTGGTGTTGATGTTGGCAGCGATGATGAGGACGATGTCGATGGCCTCGTCACGGATGCTTGTGATGACGTTTAGGGCGATGGTGGTGACGCTGATGACGGCTAAGGTAAGCATGAACACAGGCTGATGATGATGATGATGTTGTTGATGATGACCATCTGGATCATGCCATTCACTGTGCTGATGATGACGGTGGAGACGATGACGACTCATGTAAAGTTTTGCAGTGGGTTGTTCCTTTTTGTAGTCTGTCTTGGCCGCACCAATGTGCATACCGCTCCTGACCCACATTCATATCGCTCTAGCCTCGGACAGCTGCACACCTCGGAGTTCAGAGCCTGTGGAACTATCAGTTGAGCGGCAGTCTGCTTTCGGAGGTCTCAACGAGTGTGTGTGTGTGTGTGTGTGTGTGTGTGGGCGGGGGGAGGGAGGGAGAGAGAGAGCGAGAGAGAGAGAGAGAGAGAGACGCGAAGTTCAGGAGTTGTGTCAGCACTTTCACGAACACCAGAAAGCAGACAAAGAAAACTGTTGACTTGCGATTGAAAAATCATGGATCCCGGCAATCATTCAGCATCTCAGCAAGAATCTCGTTACGCTACCATTTTCAGCTGGGGAGTTTAGGTTAAACCTGCTATGGGTGCATGGCCATAGCCAATCAAAGCTGCTGTGGTCCTTGGCAAGGCCTGATGCAAGGTCGCCCCAACGGCCGATTGATCAGTGCCTGAAGATCCCCTTCTCGCAGTATGCGATTCTCAGGCTCGAAACTTGCAGGCGTCCTGCAAGTACGGATTGTGTGCCCATGGGACAGATTTGAAACAGAGTTGAAAGGTACATGAGGGTTTGTTGCATGGACTGAAGGACTTGTTAAGATCCGCTTAACTATGGGAGTATGGTAGAGCCCCAGAAGAGGGAAGCCCTGCATAGAGCGCCCAGCGATTGAAAACCTAGCAACTGAAACTTGGACAAGGCCTACATACACATACACATATGTATATGTCTAAGTCTAAGGCTATGTATGCATATATGTACATGAAGGTATAGATGTATATGTCTAACCAGGTATGGGTATATGCACTTCTAACTATATAGGTATGGATAACATACAGATGCCAGCATGGACTTTGTATCGTAGCCAATATGGGCGCATGTGGCGGCAAACCTGCTGCCAAGCAGCAGGAAAGTCGAGAACTCCGTTTCCACGACGGAGTTCACTACAGCCCACTGGAATCCAACGTCCATAGAGGATTTCTCAACAGCCACCTTGGATCGAATGACTTCGATGCTCCACTCGATTTCGAGACTCAGTTGTCGGTCGACGAGGACACACTGGACATAGTCCAGTTTTCGGCCCCGATCTTTGTTGCCGAGGAAGGCGAAGGCTTCAGCGTTAAGCTGATGCGACTGGGGTCGCTGGCTGGAACCGTCAGCTGCTATTTCCGGACGGAAGCAGGCTCTGGCAAACCTGGAGTTCGCTATGTTCACGCAGAGGGGGAGGTCGTGTTCGGCGACGGGCAGTTCGAGGAAAGCATTGACATCCAGATCATAGATTCTCCGGAGTGGTCAGCAACCCTTGAGTTCAAGGTCGTTCTGAGCAATGCCAGGGGGTGTTCCTTGGGGAAATACCTGAAGGTGTGTCGCGTCAAGGTCTTGGACTCAGACCCCTTTCCGAACAGCGACTACGCTGAGCCTGTCAAGGCGGGTCAAGATGCCATCAAGGAAATTAACCCACTACCACTCTTTGTGGACTTTTGCAGGCTGATGCTTCAGATACCTGGAAACTCGAGGCGATTTGCTGTGATCTTGCTCTGTGACCAACTTAAGAATGCCTATCTTTGGTTTCAGCTCAGAGCTTCCGTGTACACGGTGAACGTGATCTTTGGTGGAGAAGACGCCGTGGACCAACTCATCATCCCCGGAGACGCTGTGACCACTGCCAAGCTTCTCGGCTTGATGTACATCGGCCTTCCCCTGCTCTTGCACCTTTACAAAGAAGCCAAGACGCGAATGGACATTGCAGGCCACTGTAATTTCTACTTGCAAACGAGCTTGATGCGGAAATACATGAACTTCAACGAGGACTCGAGAGCAGCAGTCTCGCTTGACGCAGTTCAGAAGGTTGTGACCGAGCAAGCGCTGGATGTCTCAAACAGCCTGGACAACGTGTCGTCCATGCTAGAGACACTCGGTCGCCTGATCATGCTGAACTCTTTCGCAATTTCTAGTGATCCGGGCATGCTGTGGGCTGTTCTCACAATGCCTGTGGTCATGCTTTTCTGGGTCCTCCTCCGCCATAGGTGGTTGACAAAGCCTGAGAAGGACCGTCCCCACAAGAAGCGAGTCAGTCAGCTGGTGTGTTCCATCAGCGAGTACTACTCGCTCATTGCTGCCTACTTCCAACGGCCTGCCATGAACGAGAAGTTCGCTGCGAGCGTGGCTAAGCTTGGGGAGGTACAAGAGCCTCTGGGAATCTACCACATGCGCACCGAGTTTTTTTTCGCTTGGCTAGGGCCATTCTTCTCCGGCTTCTACTTGTGCTTCTATGCGCAGCAAGTGATGGATGGTCAGTTATCGTTGGGAACGTTTCTAGCAACCATCTCTGTCTTCAAAGAGGTCTCCTCGAATTTTGCGGATGGATATTCGGTAATGATGAGTGTTATCTCCAAGTTTGAGCCTTTAAATGATATTGCTGTTTTCTTGAATCGGCCAACCGATGTCCGAGACTTGAAAGAGCTGGTGAATAGACGGCTCAAGGAGACCAGTGAACAGCGGAGTCGCTTGATGCAGCTGTCGGTGCCAATCCCTCCCGGGATGGTGCGGACTGACCTACTTCCAATTCGCTTGGAAAACGTATCTTTCAAGCTTGGGATGGACAAAGAGCTATTCAAAAATGTAGACATATTTGTCGAGCAGGGCAAGCTGATCGCTGTGGAAGGCACTCATGGATCTGGCAAGACGAAGCTGATCAGAATCTTGGCTGGTGGGATTTCTCCGACGAGTGGCGTCGTGACCATGCCCTCGCATTTAAGGTGCGTGTTGGTTACGCATAACGTCGTGTTGATGAATACTTCTCCGCTTCAGAACCTCTTCTTTGGGGATCCTCTCGCCTTAGCACAGACAGAAGATCGACGGCGTGTGATGTCGATTCTAGAGAAGCTGGGGATGAATAGAACCCGAGAGCTTGCTGAGAAAGAGATCGAAATCTTACAGGAGCCTTTTTCGGATGAGGAGGAGGTCGTCACAAACGCTGGCTATTGCGGCGACGCTGGAAAGGAAAAAGCCAAACCTACCCATTCGCCATGGCTTCCGCCAGACGATAGTAAGCGAGCGGAGCGGGTGGGGTCCGCCCTGCGTGGTTGGACGGGCACCCTGTCCTTCCAGGAAAAAGCGAAACTGCACATTGCACGCGCCCTGGTTGTGAATCCCGAAATACTGATTCTTGAGAAGCCACTGATGAACTTTGATGACAAAGAATACCGACTGGTTCAAAGGAGTCTCAGAGAGTACGTCTACAATCGAGGAGTCGCTCTCCCTGTCGAGTCTCGAGAAAGCCGACGGCCCAGGACTTGCTTTTACAGTGCCGAGCGGGAGGATACCAGTCAGACTGACGTCGTTTGGAAATGTGACGGCGGCAGTGTGGTTGCAGAGAAACCCCCGTTGCAAGTTCAAGAACCCCGAGCCAGCGGAAAGGACATGTCGTCTCCGAAATCGTCATTGACTCACGACATCCAGATGACCGCAGTGTAGCTAAGTGTCTCACCCACACGTTTTGAAATTGGGAGATCCCTCAGCCAGGCTCCAGTCACAGAGCTGCGCCGGCTGGGTTGGCAGAGCAGGAGTGAACTTGGCCCCTTGGTCCATGAGAGTTTTGCCCAAAGGGTCCAAGTACCATTATAGTAGGTACTCGGGCCCCAAAAGTATGTACTATACTATTACTTGGACCCTTTGGGTTGTGCATTCCTTAGATGGTCAGTCGCGAAGCGGCAGTGGCAGCTCAAAGTGAGAGGCCAGAAGAACCAAACGCACGCCCTGAGACCTGCTGAGCTGGCCACGGCTTGCGATGCAGAAGCCAGAGACCTCCCATAGCCTGCGTTGAAAACCAGTAGCGAGTTGCGAGAGCTGACGCCTTTCTCTAAAGCTCAACTGTGGTTTCATTCTCTCCAACCTCACGCCAGTACAAAATGTACAATCTACGGCTTACCATCCCCTTCGCAAGGCGCAGGAGGCGTCCTTGCGCCTGGACGTGGCGTGCTTCAGCGCCCTGGGCTCCACCCTCCGAGTGCAGTGGCCACGAGCGCCCTTCGATCCTGAAAAATAACCAACAGTATTCAATGGCATCATTAGACGTGTCCATCATCGGGGCGACTGTGATAGTAGTGGTATGTAGTGGTAGTGGTAGTAGTGGTGGTAGTAGTAGTAGTAGTAGTAGTAGCTGCGTTCAGTGCTCAGATGTTTCGGGATTTTCGGCTGACATCCTGCCCGGTTCCGGCTCGGGACTGGTATCGACTCAGAACTGTTGTTTTGCGTTTTTCCGTTGAACGCTTGTGCTTCCTGAGGCTGCACCAGTTGGAGGTTTGCAAATTGCTAGGCCTTCGTCCAGATCAGGCAGGGCCTGAGCGTTGAGGGGCTTTAGCTTATTGTGATGCGCTGCGGCCCCTCGCCCGGCTGTCTCGACACTAAAAAAAGCTGTTTGTCCGTTCGGTGCCTTGGGATGTGACAAGTTGTGCTACATCAAGCGATTTTACCCTGAAGGAGTGTTGAAGGCTCGGCTGTCCTTGAGTGACTGACTGGAACAGGGTCGCAAATTTCTTGCTGACAGGTACACGGCTTCTGCATGTTGTAGACCAGGTTTGATCAATCATGTTTGTGTGTCCATACACCGAGGTCACGCTATCTGAGTTTACAGTTTGCTTTCTCAATCACTTCTGCTCCACCTGACAACTCAACAGTTCATGCGCCAAGCTTCCGCACAGCAGGGCCAGTGCAGCGGAATTGAGCTGATCGGACTCAGTGCACGGGGAGTGTGAGATGTAACTGCACGACAAAGTACACTAGCAGCCAGTGGCAACAACAGCAGCAGCCCCACCGCCACCGCTGCCGTCTCTCGTCCGGACAATCATATGTACACTATCACTACTGGCAGCCACAGCAGGCATCGTGTCCACACATGTCTTTTTTCAGACACGTCAGTCAAGAGCTGTGTCATATTAATGCAATCGTGCACCTCAGCGTGTTCCTGCTCTATCGTTGTTGAATGGTCCACACCCTTCTTCTGACCCTGGATTCTGCTCCAGTGCACACTGGTTTGCCGCTGTTGCGGCATTGTTGTGTATGTACCTCTTGCTAAGTATGTTGAAGTTGCTGTAATGATGTTTGTGCCAGTTCTTGCTACTGTGCCTCATGCGTAGTGGACTGCAAGCCTTTTTGGACGTGTCCACGTAGATGTGCTCAAAGACTATTGACTATTGTCCATGTCTGTCATTGGTTTGATGATGTTCTTCTGGACACTATTGCCTGTTTTAACCCTCACAACACGAAACAACACCACTACAATCATCATCATCTTCGTCATCATCATCATCGCATCACCACCCCATCACATCATCATCGTCACCATCGCCGTCGGTATCAGGGGTTCCTTCAGTTCAATCTTCGTTCCGCCACAGGTGTCTCTGAACGCTGCTGTTTCGGTGGCCAACGACTGGCACCGTGCCCTGGACCGTTCCTGCTGTCTTTGAGTATGTTCAGGGCGGAGCGCGGTTTGCTCGGCGCTACTCTTCTCCCGTTGCTAAATCCTAAACGGGAGTCTGCTGGCCTTGGTGCATAGGCACAGGTAACAGGTAACTTGGGGATGCACCTTAGCGATTGTGGGAATCTCTTGCAACAGCTGGAGGAGAGGGCGCCGGACTCGGGTCTTTAACTCTGCAGAGCATACTGTTAGTGCCCATGCGACCCTTCGAAAGCAGCCTTTCGTAACATCCCCAAAGATCTTTAGCTGAGAAGCTTCTGCAAGAGTTTTGGGTTGGCCTCAGACATGTGCGCTGTCCAATCCTTCAGGTGGAAGTCCTCCACTCCCTGAGGTCGTGCCTACTGGTCCCCGAAGACCCTTACGATGAGCGGAACGGCTTTACAGTTGTGAATTAGGGAGTTGTAGATGTAGGATGCCACTGCGTTCGCATCGAACCGACGCAGCCTTCGTTTTAAATCATGCCAAGCCACCTTCATACCATAAATGCTCAGGCTCTCGTCGAGTCAGGTGCTGACGACCCATTGACCTCGTTACCCGAGCTTCACTCCCAGCCGGGTAGCCGAAAGGACGTGCTCCGAAGTTTTGAGATCCTCCAGTTGCAGAAGGACTTGGTTTCTGAGACGGTCGAATTTGAGAGCCGATTGAAGTTCCCGGTTGCATGGGACACTTCTCTTCTTCGTGGCTGGTTACCAAACTCTACACGTTTTCTTTTCTTCGAGCTGATATGTATTCGAGTTTGCTTAGCCAGCACTCAGTGGCTTCGTCGCTGACGATGGCGATTGTGCTGCTGACGGTGTTGCTGAATGCTACCCAGGGGACGGGGTGCTCATGCGAGGATTGTAATTAATTAGTTCTATATTCTTCATGACGATCGTGGGAACTGGCGAAAAGCATCATCGGTGTCATCAACATGATCAACCAAGTGGGTGTCAGGACATTGTTGGCTTTGGCGCAGCTGTCACCGGCTCCGCAAAGACACGGGCTTGGCGACCTGTCAACCGAGTGCAGTCGGGTCGAGGAAGCTTGGATTGCCGTTGCGCTTGTTGTTGGTGGTTGCGGCGGCGCTGTTGTCTTTCTAACGATCTGTGAATGATTTTTTGGTGGTGGCCGATACGCAGCTGTTGAAGCTGATTACTGCAATAATTTGGTTCTTCTCGTTGTAGTTGTTGCTTCCATTTGTTGGCATTGTGTGTGTGTGTGTGGTTTGCGGTGCAAAGGCCCGCGGGACTTCGAGCAAATCATAAGAAAAACCCTACAGATACGAAGGTGCAGTGCTGGAAGTCACGTCTGCAGTAAGTCTTTCAAGATGCTCATGCGCTGGTGATGATCTTAATTACCCATGCAGGTCCTGAACGCAGTGGAGATTGAGCTGAATTCTTGTCGTATAGTAGTGGTAATTAAAGGATGCTATCGGAGTTCAGTTGAACCTCCCAAACATGCAGCAGATGTCGACGAGGTCAGCTGGGTTGAATCTTTGGCAGGCGCATGGGCCGTGAGGTGGATAAATATGCTGGCCGAACCCCTTCATGGCGTTGTTCTGACAGCTTAATGGCCCTATCCGTAGCACCATACATCTACTCGTAGCTAGAGGAAACACATCTGGCTCATAGACCACATCAGTTCCCTCAATCATATATGTTGAAGTTAGGGGAGACAGAATGTTGCTCATGTCAAGCTTTTGTCGTAGTTGGATAATTAATCCCCGAAAACAACTTGAGGTGCGAGCAGCATTGTCGCAACATGTTGCAAGTAGTAATTAACCAACTAGCTTGTAGCACTCAATCACGCAGGCTTTCGGAATCGCAATGGCATTGGATACCTCTGCTCCAACACTTCCATACCGAAAGCCTCCAATCCTGACAGAACCAAACCTAAAGACTTTGGGCAATGTGCAGGCGCTGGAGGGCTTGGGCCTGGAGACAAGCCAGACAGCAGGCTGGTCCTCATTCTTCCGTGAACTATGGACATTTGGCAGTTCTCCCCTGCCTGCTTATGGCTCCGAATACCATTGGGGTTGCTACTGTTGTTGCCGTCGGTGGTGGTTCAGGTGTTATACATGCGCTCTTGCCTGTCGTGGTGTTATCATCGCCCCTTTTGCCTCTGGCGTGGCACGGGGGGACCGTGTAAAGTACGGTACCGGAGTTTTGCTACTGCTGTTGTTGCTGTTGCTGTTGCCGTTCCCGTCCCGTCTCCATCGCCGCCGCCGCCGCCACCGCCGCCGCCGCCGCCGCCGCGGCTGCTGCTGCTGCTGGTGCTGCTGGTGGTGGTGGTGGTGGTGGTGGTGGTGGTGGTGGTGTCGGTGTCGGTGTCGGTGTCGGTGTCGCTGTTGCTGTTTCTGTTATTGATATTGTTTCTGCTTCTGTTTCTGCTGCTGCTGCTGCTGCTGCTGGCGGCGCCGGCGGCCCCGGCCCTTGGTGTTGGCGGCGGCGGTGGTGGTGGTGGTGGTGGTGGTGGTGGTGGTGGTGGTGGCGGCGGTGGTGGTGGTGGTTATGACAGAGACTGTTTAGATCTAACTTTGATGCCGGAAGCTGTCCTCACTGGTTCCATGTCTCTTAGTAGTTCCAACATCCGATGCTAAGCCTCCGACAGTGCGACATCAAGACACAAGACCAACTGAAGAAGGATCCGGCGTAGTCAGAGGGATGGTGCCCAAACGATCACGGCAGAAATTCATTATGCCTGCTGGTGGAAGTGCTGCTTGAAACACGAATCCTAAGCGGCTTCGCAGTCATAAACCTGCTAACGATAGGCAGAATAGGAATGGCCGTTCTGGTAGCCACAGCCGTAACTTCTAGACCAGCAACACCACTAGTCGACAAGATTGCTCACTGGCAGACAGGCAACGCCCGCGTTGCTGCGGCCACAGCCGGAGACTGGTCGCTGGCAGGGGAGGCTGACAACCTAGTAATTATTGCTACTCTTGCTGTTGCTGCTGTCGTCATCGCCATTGTGGTCACTGATTTTCGGGTTAGCTCGTGTTTGATTATCACGGTTAATACTCTCACTATTGCCTGGTCCTTCCGGGATTGAGGTTCGGCTTCGGGCTGCGGATATCGCAATTACAAGTCAACTGTAGTCTGAGCGCCACCCGCTACCTCGACTTGTCGAACTCATGACATGCTGGACCTTGATTTGCTCGAAGGCGCTGCGGTCGAACAGAGTCCGCCAGCTGGGAGACTCTGACAGTGAAAAGTATTCTCGTTTGTCAAAGACGGTGCAAGAAGAACTTCTGATGAAAAGGCATTAACTCGCTTCGCGCGATGGAGGTCAATGTCTTGAGTCGTTCGGGGAATTTCGGGTGGAATCTCCTGCCCTAAACCCTAAACCCCTGGTCTTCAGCTTGAGTGGATGACGTGTAGTTACATCTTACATGCCTTGGGCAAGCACAAAGGCGAGCTCTTGGTTCTGTGTTCACGGGTCTTTGCCGTGTGGATTTCAAGGGAAAAGCGCTATACTGCAACAACGACCAGCAGCAGTAGGCAGTCTCAAGGAATGCTCAGATGTTCTGCCTTTCAGAGAGAGAAACAGAGAGAGAGAGAGAGAGAGAGAGAGAGAGAGAACAAAAAGGAGTACGTGGGGCACGCAGAGCAAAAGAGAGGAATGGGTTATTAAAGTCCATGTCCATGCCCTTGATAATCGAAAGAGAGAAAGGCCGAAAATGCTAGCAAAATGTTGCAGAGAGGCAGAGGGTAGGCGGGAGACACTAGTCTGAAGACCAGAACTGGATATCGTCGCCTTCGGCACGGTCCTCGGTGGACTTCGCTGGCGTGCTGCGCAGCTCGACGTTGAGAAGCACAGTCACATGTTTGGCGTTTGCGTGTATGTTTGTGTTTGACTCTGTCTTTGTCTCTGTGTGTGTGTGTGACTGCATGCTGTGATGTGGGAATGTCTCGTTTGTTAACAGGGTTTCCAGTGTTTCCATGCCTATGTTGGTGCAACTGGCCCAGGATTGCACTTGGCGACAAGGCGTGCCAGGACAGCAAAGAGGCTACCTATGACGTACGATTTCGGGAGTATGAGTAAAGCTTGGCAAGGAAGTTTTCACTAAGCCCAAATCAGCTTCCATCTCTACCTGGCCTAAGCGCTGCCGCTCACCACAAAAACTTGCCCCCCGGCAACTGTGGAAGCAGGGAACCACCAATTGCCTCCGAGAGCCAGCGCTGAACATAACGCAAGCCTGGAGTCCAAATCCTAGGAGGCAAGCGGTGGGCGAGAATGTGGCTTGGCAAGTTTGAACGCATGAAGCTCAAGACTTGGGGTGAGGCTTCCCACGAACCGCAGCACGGACTTCGAGCCTGGCAAGTGCAACGCAGTGCTCGTTCACACGAGCCCTCACGCATAATTTCTTGATATCTGCCTGGGGCACTCTGCGACGGATTCTGTTTTGATCTGGTAGTGATTTCTTAGTGCAGATACTTCCAGCCCTGAAAAGAGCGCTATGAACAGGTTATCGAATTCATTCTGGTGTTGTACACATGCGGCCTGGTATGACGCTATAGCCTTCTATTATAATGACGATCGACAGCAGAGCTTCGACTGTAGAGCTTCGCGGCTGGAAGGCTTTCGTTCCTTAAGCTAGGGTTTGGCTTCGGTGATGCAGGATTTGAGTAGGGCTTCAGGGTCTTGGGGATTCGGGTACTCCCGGAACGTGTATACAACTTATGACCCGAATGCTGGAGGCTGAAAGCATCACGCCTCAAACACTTGAGCGCCAAGTGGCGAGAAATCGCCGTCTAAGCTCGAGAATTTAAAACCCCAAAAAACAGTAGTAGCACTGGCAACTACATAGACACCCTCATCGATACCTGCGGCAGCATCTGAGGGTCTGCATCCGCCAGAGGTTGTGCTTCTTGGTGCCCTGCTCGATGGCTTTGCGGGAGAAGGGCTCTGGGAAGCGGCACTGACCAGGTTTGTGGCCGCTAGGCGGACCGGTTGCGATGTCAGGGTTTGCTTTTCGGTCGGCAGCAGTGGCAGTTTTGTCTGCTCGTCGCTAAAAATACTACATTTTTCGTCCAAGGGACCTGATGGCACGCTGCCAAGCCTCAAGGCCTAACAAACTCATAGTGGTCCTAGCGACAATGACATTGTGTAATTACTTGTTGTTGCTGCACGCTTATTCTATCAGCCACCCTGCAGCACGGAATCTCTGTGCGACTTCGCCTGCCCGTGTGTTCCGCATTGCTGTGTCACGGCACACTGATGCAAAGCAACGCGTTGCGAGAGGCGGACATCCATCCGCTGCAGCACCACAGCACTCAATGCTGCGCTGAGTGCCGCTGAGAAGGTGCCGTGCAGCTTCTTGTGGTGGACATCCTAGGACCTAGAATCTAGAACATATCCAGAAAGTTCCTCGTGGCGCCCTACCATTTGTAGGTCTGGCGCAGAACCTGAAAATCAACGGGGGTGTTCATGCGCACGTTGTTGTTACATAGCTGACATAGCTTGTTGCATGTACAAAACGACAAGAATTTCGAAGAGAGCCACTGTAGTACTAAGTACAGTAGCAACAAATCAGAGCAATTCAGGGAAACCAAGAACAACAGTACAACAGCGCATGCCATCTCCATCACCAACACGATCAGAGTCATCATCATCATCATCACTATCTTGGTCGCCGTCGTTGCTGCTACTGCCTTGCAATATGTTTTCCACAGAGTACGGAAACATGACGACTGTGCTTGAGAAAAGGCCTCTGCACCTAGCCAGGAGGGACGTACTGGACTCGACATGCAGTGTAGTGATCGGATTATGAAAGAAGGGCACCACTGCAGCCACCATTAAGCAACGTCATCCGAGGTCGCAGAAGCCGCAGAAGTCGCTTGAATTTCACTTCCGGGCTTCGTTGTCTTGGTACAAACTGCAACGCGCGAGCATCGTGACTAGTGTAGTAGTGTAGTCCTTTCGCAGCCATTGCCATAAACTGTAAACATCGTCACACTGGTGGTTTTCGTATAGTGCACCATCATCAGTCGCAGTCGTAGTAACACATGCAAGCAAAGGCGGCAGGGAAGAAGGATGGTCAGGTGCTAGGGCTACTACAGCAAGCAAAGTACCGTACCCTTTTATCGATTTCGACACTTGTGCAGTGCCTTTGCTTCAGGGGGGGCGCTGGAAGCTTGCCAGCTGGCTGTTGGATGCAACACGGCAGAACGTGAGCGCCTTTTTGGAGGTTTCGCAGTGAGACGGCGCAGGAGCACTGGTTTGCGTTGCAGTACTCCGGGACATTGCGCACCTTGTTATGAAGTTCGGAAGAGATGGCACAAGAAGAACTTTCATTGCCATTAAAGATCCATGATCCTTCAAACCGCCGTTCGGAAGCCCGGGGCACTGCAGCGTGAAGAAGAGCCCTGGGGCCGTCGAACCGAGATCAACCCTTGTGCAACATCCCAGACTGGCATGACAGCACTTGTTTGCATGTGGGACGTCGAGTGACATCTTAGTGGAGAAGCAGATGAAGCCAGTGCAGAGAGTATCGATTCAGCTGGTGGTTGGTGAGGCAGTCGCGGCTGCAGCCTTGGCTTCGGATGTGATCTCAGTGAACCTTGACTTCGTTTGAGATGTATTTGCACAAGTAGTTAAAAGCCTTGTGGCAGCTGTGTTCCCGTCCATGGCGACGGCCCAACTGCGACACCACCCATCCTCGCAGCAACAAACCCAGACATGCACCTTGCATGCACACTCCATGACCGAGAAAAAGGACGGGCCTTTGCACTGGAGATTGAGAAGCTGCAATCTACGCCTCCAGTCTTCAGGAACTCGGTGGTCAGCGCCTGCCGCACAACGCGACGGTGGCCGCAAGCATTCAGCCACTCAACGAGAAGCGAATTCCGGGTTCTGGCCACGGCTGTAGAGGCCGCTGAATGCCTGCGCACGTGTGGGTGCTCGACCGAATAGAGGGGCCTAAATAACTACCAATAGTATTCTGGGGGTTCCATATTATGGAGACAGTACAATCGTCCCCAAAAACCCTATTCTAATTATTAAAGCTGCTGTGTTAGAATAGAAGGACATGATTTCTTTACCTGCAACAAGTAAACTTAAACACTAAGGTAAGCCTTGGCTCGTTCACCGTCACTCAAAAGTGGTTTGTGCGTAAACACCAATTGACACCAGAACGGCCGTGCAGTTTCGTACCAGTCATGGCAACTGGAACCTCTGAACCCACAACTGAGAATTGTGGGTTTTGGGTTTAGGGGTTTAGGGTTTAGGGTTCCTGATGTCATACAGGATTCAGAGATTGCATCTCGGCAACCTTTCATCAACATCCTGTTGCTGAGACCCGCAGAGAAAGAGCAGTGGATTTTATAATCACAGGGGCTACATCCGAAAAAGAAGTCGTAGGACGTAGGAGCAGCAGCAACCCAGAAGCATATCGGGGCATAGCATGCCGCCTGCACGACTACATCCATCCAAGGTCTCCTTCTCCAGGCGTCCGACCACGGCATTGAACCGACTGCTGTGAGCCGCAATGCGCTGCTGAGCGCTTATGACTCTTGCATCAGCATGGCAATTTCGGTTGACAGCTCGGGGTCGAAACCCCACCTAAACTCTGCACTGAATGTTGGGCAGCCGTCCAAGCCTTCCTGGCAAGTCTGTCCTGGCAAGGCGGGAGGCAAAAGAGGCCCAATGCGGGATCTGGATTCTGTACTTGGAGATAGGGTGGCTAAAGGTGATGTGTGCAGCGTGCTGATAGAGATGCAAGGCTTCAGGGCGACGTAGATGAGAATTGCAGCTTCGCTCCTACCTCTGGTTTCCGAAGTTATGTTATGCTCAGGGGCCGGCTCACAGCTGAGATCTGGAACGGTGGTGGAATGCGAGGCCTTTTGGAGCCAGTTCCAGTGCGGATGCATCCATGGCGGCGTGAGACTCCACAGACTTGGCTCATGCCACGAACCACTCACCCTTAGTTTTGAAGGCTTATTTGTGGGTCTGTGGCCTTGAGGTTTGCACCTGCAGCTTTCTTTTCCTAGGAGAGCGCCGGAGAGTGGCAGCGTGGTCTTTGCCTCGCATCCGACTCTCAAGAGGCAATGCTTTGAGGGCTTATATATATTTTAGGATTTGGGGGATAGTGACGGATACGATTTGGCGAAGGAGGAAGTGGGTGAGGATGGTGATGGCTGTTATATCATCGTGCAGCAGGTGATGATACTATACGGGCCATAATAACTACCGGGCTCCTTGTATTAATTATAGTATAACGAGCACCACAACCATATTCTAATAATTAAGGCCCCTGTAGTAGACGGCGTCGTGACTGACATGATTCTTTGGAAAATAATGCTGACATGACGGTCGGGTCAGGCTGAGCAATGGAAGCAGAATGTTCAGAAATTGTGCCACCACGGGCACACCCAGGTTTCATAATCCCGAAAGAACGTGGAGTGTTATAAGAGCTGTTGCAGTGGATCGCAGTAAATTAGCTCTGGATCCGATATCCTGAGTGACTTGTTGCGAGAACACCTGAGAGTAAAAAGCTGGGAAGTCGTATTTTAGCAGCCAGGATACTACAGCCGCCAATGCGCTGCTCTCAGCCTGCGAGAAGACCTCGCAACTCGACGTTGGACAAGCCTCCAGATTCCCGCTGATTATCGGTTTTCCGGCTTTTGTTCTGAATCCCGTCAATCCGAGACGTCTTTTGCGAAACTGCTAGGCGCTGGAGCACGGCGCTTTTGTTGGCTCCCGAAGCCCCGGACGACGCAGGCGCTGACGGGCAGAGCTACGTGAGTTGTTATGTTTCATTTCGGTGGCAGCATCGTGCCTCAGTGTTTTTGAGATTCTGCCGCCTTTGAGAAAGGATTTGCTGCCATTTCCCCCCAAGAAAGACTGCGAATTACCAACAAGCTGAGCACCATCGCCAAGAAGGTCATCCTCATGGTCATGATAGGGCTGAAAGGGTCTTAAGTGACAATGCTAGCTTTATGACAGTATGTAAGGGTGACCATGTTGAGGCAACATGCTGGTGGTACTGGGAATGATTGTGAGAGGAGCAGAAGAGGAACTGGAGGACAACGATGAGACTGAGGACTAGAATGATAATGTGGGAGAGAAGAGGTTGATGATTGTGATGACGACCTTGGTGACAATCGGGATACAGGGCTTTCGAGCCACATGTTGCCAGTCATCCCGTCCCCATCAGCGCACCACTACAGTGGGGTCGAGAGTCACGGGGATCAACTCGGCTTCTTTGGGGAGCTTTGATGCCAAACCCAGGGCAAGAACCATCTAACTTGCTAGCGCTGGTTCTTGCAAGGCCCCTGGATTCGTATACCGTAGTGGTCCATGCAGGAAGCCGGCCACAAACCATGGAATTGCTCAAGAACGCCCAATCTTCAAAGTACCCACAGGCCCGTGCCAGACTAGACTCCGTGCCAAAACCCGATGATCAAAAAGTCGAAAGGACCCGAGCCTCCAACTGCATGAAGGCTATGGAACTTTGGTCACCACCATGGCACTCGCCGAGAAGTGGCGGTGGGGCTTGTCCCTTTTGGGCTACTTGCCAAGAACAAACTGTTTGGCGATGTGTCTTTGTGAAGTCTTCGTTTCTGCGTTAAGCCTAAACTACAATTTCTGGACAGGAAGCATGGGTTCACGAGATCTTCGACCGCAACTCTCATGCACATCATCTCGGTGTGCCTGTTTCGAGGTTCCGAGCGAGCAGTTGCAGTCTTACAGAGCCTGCACATGCAGACGTCTTGTTTGTGTGGCTTCGCTGAACCCGCTCAGCGTCGCTGCATTTGGAAACAAGTGAGTCTTCAGGGTTTCGGAACGGGACTGCATGTAGACCCCAAACGGCGGTTCGTGGCATGACGCAGCTTCATTGAATTAAGTCCGGTAAGCTGTCTGCTCTCAATTCTGCGAATGGACCCCCATTCTTTTCCAGTTCTGACCGCATGCTCTTCATCTTATGCTCATTTGACCGAGGTTTAGCTACTCGTACCAGAGCATACTTGCCTCGGCCGGTGAAGGCCAGTCAGGGGTCGCAAGGGAGGTTGAGAGCTTAAGGTGCTTGCGCACTTACCGAGCCTCAAATTCTTTGAAAGCATGCAGCCGTGTATGTTAGGTGCCAATTCTGTTGTCCGCCTGTGCCGCTCGTGCAACTCGGGTATGTTGTTGAAGCCTTCCCTGGGCATGAAGCTTGCAATCTCTGGCCGTCAGCGCAGCTTTCATGGCCCAAATGCTACGTGTGAGACTATGAGTGGCTGCGGGGGATACCCCGGAGACACTCGAGATTGGGGATACAAGGCCGATGGCGTTTCGGCCGTTGTAAGCAGTGTCGGCCAGCCCTCTCAGCGGAGTGGTTCTGCGGTTTCTTCCAGTGCCGCTAGCTTCGGAACGTTGAAGACTTATCAACCCAAGGACAGCATGAAAGATTTGAAAGTCTTCGCGGATTCCTTTGCAGATCACCTTCGGGTTGTCATGAGCCACCTCTTGCAGACTGACGAGGACTTGTCAACGGCTGTTGTAGTCACACACAGTCTTCTTGTAGATCTCGTGGGTTCAGCACAGACGGTGTTGTGGAAGCTGTCGAGTACAGCATGCAGCATCTTCGAGAAGCTACCTTCTTTGCTGTGGGCTTCCCGGTGCCGCGGCAAGGAGAACGAGCTAGAAGATTCGATTTCCGAGATTCATAAAAGCATGGCCGTGTTGCGCAAAGAGACACAGGCTATCCGCAACGATTACATCGATCTGCTCAAGCAAGTACAGTACGTGGGCCACTGCACGCGGGTCACTATGGATCATGCGGTGATAAGCTGTTTGCCAGAACCGGATGAGGATGAGCATGGCATCTTGGAATGCCAACCACCAGCCACCCCAGAGTTCAACGAAGCTCAAAAAAAGTCACAGAAGAGCTTGGAACTCACGCTTGATCACCTCGAAGGCATTTGCCAGATGATGGAAGATTGTTCGGACTTCTGGTTGATGCTACACCATGCAGAGCTTCAGCTCCGCAAGCTGGAGAAGGAAGCATCGGTGATCCGGGATGGTAAGCCTTGTGTACAGAGTGAACCAGAGCATGAAAGCAACTCCTGCATGAAAAAATTCTGTGAGCATATTAGGTCCTTCTGCGGCGTACATTGTGGCGTGCCGCCAACCAATAGTTTCAAAGTCGCAGCGATTTCAACCCGCTGAAGGTGGGAATGCTCGGCAACAGGTTGAGCGCAGTCAATATTCTCGATCAGGGTAACTTGTTGCTGCTGAGGTCGGCCGTCTAGGCTGTGCATTGCTAACTACATGCAGGTACACTTCTTGTCACTTGCCGTACTCAAGTCCTAAACCAATGTGTTGTTTGCTGAATGCCGACTTCGCACGCATCGCAGAGTCTATATCGACAAGTACTTCCTTGTGAGACTAGTGTCCAGACGCTGTCAAGAAAAACCCTGGCTGTGCTTGCACTTGTCAATGTGTGTGCAGCTGCGTTCTGGACCTGTGCTTGCAACGACGAGGGCTCCACCCACATTCCCAGCATGAAATACGCGGAAGGCAGCTGGGTGCCGGCAGTCTTGTCGGAGCACCACGGCGGAAGGATCGAGGGCTGGTTGGCCTTGCGTTTGATGGCAGACAGAGATTCAGCGCAGGATATCGGATGCCTTTGTATGCTTCCCAAGCTGCCCAATCGCCGTAAGCCCTTGAGAATCAATTCCTTGGTTGATGAGGCATTTTGCTGCATCTCTCGCATGGTTTCGTTCGACTGGAACAGTAGTAGGCTTTCGGAGGAATGCTAGGCGTTGCTGCTTTCATGCAGGAGGCCTCTCCGCATGGTTGAACCACCCTTCAGCCTGAAACCTCCGGCCTCCGAAATCCCTACACCCCTAGTTGAAACCCTCATAATTACACTGCGCTTCTGGAGCGCTGTGTAGAATCCTGATACCTCCTTAAAGACCTCAGCCCTAAACCGTAAACCGTTTAGATCCTTGATACCCGCGAACGATCTCCGAAGCCTTTGCCGAGGCTGTTTCTTGCCACCAGAGCGGCCTTCAAGCGCGTTGGACTGTCGAGCATCGAGAAAGACTCTGAGGGGTTGTATTTCGGGGTTTGGGAGTGTATTAGTGGGTTTAGGGTGGAGGGGTTCTGAGTTTAGGAGTGTAGGGGTTAGGGGTTGACGGGTAGGGGTTTGGGGGTTTAGTAGGGGTTCCGGCCATTCCCGAGAATGTGAGTGCTCTGCGGTTCGAGGCTTTACGGCTTAGCTGGGTTCAGGACCTGGTTTAGGACTTTTAGGGTTTTACAGCCTCAAGGGTTATCGATGCATTCATACTGACATGCCGTGTCAGCACATCGGAGAGTGTGACAGATGTAGAAACGGAAGCGGCGGAATGATTTTGTCTCCACCATCACCATGCCAACAGAGCCCCTGCATACCCTCCTAGATCATGCGCTCGTCACGTATCCTGTTTGACAGAGAGCGACCGGTATTCGCAGACACAGTCGAGCCATGCCCTCAAATTTGATTGGCCGAGATGCAAACTACTACAATCGCCTTCTGTTGTCGTTACCTGCAGCCGCAGCACGTGCTCAAGCTTTCCTGTGCGCGTGGGAGGAGGAGTATGGCGCGACTCGCTCGAAGTTCGTTGGGAGTTTAGGGTTTAGGTTTTAGGGCGTACAGTATTGCTGCCCACGTTTTGGTTTTGCTATCTGATGGTCTTCTGAGACGTCAGGAGTAAGAGTGGCAATGAAACTCTGCACATGTAGCCGGTACGAGTGTGCACTTGATGCCTGAACTCAGCTTACCAAGTTAGTAGCATGAAATGCTGCATAGGTACGAGATACTAGGGTTCCCTGATAGTCCCATATTTGTATATATACATATATATATATATGTATATATATATATATATATATATATATAGGTATATATATATATATATAGATATCTATAGTCGGACAGTGACACTCTAAATTACCTGCTGCGCGGACGCTGCCAACCCTCAAATCGTAATTTCGGACAGGCTAAGCGGTAAGGGTAGTGTTAGTGGTAGCGGTAGCCGTGTGGTTATGGTAGTTTGTGTGCATGGACAGCGACTGACTGACCACGGCTTGCAGGCGGTCCCAGCAAAACCAAATGCGCGAATCACCAAAACAAATTAGGACAGGACCAAGCACGTTTTGCGGCCGACTTCATCGTTGCCACAACCACCAACAGTCTGGTACGGGCAGTTGCGGGGGAGACACTAAATCTTTATGCCGACTTACGGGTGGCTACGCTCCAAAGCCCCACCTTAGGTACACGAATCCCTAGATTAAGAGTCTAAGCCGTAAAGCTACTGCAATCGCTTTTGAGGTGAGCGATACTGTGGCTAGATGGTAAGTAGCCCAACTGGCAGACAATGGATACTTGTTACCCCTTTCATTACCCAACATGAAACCGCAATCAACCCTGATCCCTCAAGACCAAAGCGCAGGGACAGATCCAAAAGGGCTGCAGAGACGAAGGACTGACAGAAGCTGGTGAATTGGAATCGGCATTTTTTGTAAATGTACGGCAAGGCTACACCGCGGAGCATCGAAGAACACCTGTGTTTTTTCTTACAGTCGTTGGTGCACGTCTGTGAGAGTTGCGCCGCAAAGTTCAAGATCGTAGCCACTCATGCCCTTGTTCGTTCCTACCTTTAGTGGCTTTAGTGACTTCAGTGATTCTTGCTGGGAAGTCTTTCAGAACTAGGCCCTAACTAAGCGCTCGCGTCTTGTACATGTCTCGAACACTTCTCCGCACCTGATCTACAGCCGACTTTTCTCTGAGACGATGCTGCAGAGAGCTTGTGGCTTCTGTTTGTCAGAGACAAACAGCGAAGTGCCATCTTGTACTTGTGACACTGGCCTCCCCCTGACTGCACAGCGATGCATAACATAAGAACAATCAGGTTTGGACATGTTTATGAGTTAACCTCTGCCCTCGCGAACACTTCGATGACCACCATCACCGACATTGCCGCCACTTCGATTCGTGCTGTCGCCGGTGGTGCTGGACCAGCCACCACTCAGCAAACCACGATTACCGTTGCATATTACACAGAGTAGCAGGAAGCTTGTTCTGTTGAGCGGCTTGGTTTCGGCGCGAGTGGTCTGAAGTCCAAGTCTCGGGCAAGTGAGATTCTTTTCTCGTGCAGCTGGAGGCTGGGGGTATGATTTCACTACGAGGTCTGCTTCTCTTCTTCTTGTAAAATCGACGATGACAAGCCGAGCATCTCAGCACTCAGCGCGGAGCGTGCGGAAATCAGTCCCGGAAATCGCCCAGACCACGGCAGGAATGTACTCCTCGAGGGTCAGCCGTAGCGACATGTGAACAGTGCACATTGGGCTTGATCACAGTCTTTTTAGCATCTGCATGCTCGCAGATGTGAAAGGACACTCCAGTTCCGCTTCCACGCAACGAGTGGGCCTGGCCAGAGTTGCATCTGATCCATTTGCAGCGCAAGACACATGGACCACCGCCGTGTAGCAGGAACTCTATGTGGTATCGAAGCTTAAGCTTGCAGCCAAGCAAGCCGACCGCTGTCCCTTTGATTTGTAACCTTTCTTTGGAAGGTTCAGGTCTATGGTCTAGTCTTGTCATCACTGGCCAGGAAGGGCGGCATACTCATCACTGAGGATGAGTTGAAGGCCGATCACAAGTACCTAAATTTGGCTTAGAGGTTTTGCATTCGTGGCAACTTTGCAGCATAGCATGGTCCACAACACCTCAGCTTGCTTAGCCTGATGTTCAGCATGCTTTTCGAGGCTCCCGAAGAGGTGCCGGCGGTGGGATTCAGAATAATCAGTTTAGCATGCTGGCACAGTAGAATGCGGGCTGCCACGATCATTCGAGCAGGTGGCGTGGGAGTTCTTCGATACTAGTGGCGGCACTGCTGCAATCAGGAAACAAGAGTTTCAAGATCCAACCTGCTGAAGACTCGGCTGTCTTCATGCCTTCTGCTTGAACACCATATGACTGTGGCCCCCTCCATCCGAAGATTGCATCTGCAGCTCTGTACAGACAAATCAGGTCAACTGCATGCTTCAGAATCTGTTCGGTCGGCTCTGCATTTGTTAGCTTCTGGTTATTCGGCAGCTTGTTTCAAGTGCCTGTGCTTGGCTTCCTCCAGAATCTAGCCGAATCTAGCCACGGTGTGTCTGCATGTATGTCCGTTTGTCTCTGTGTGCCCAGACCCTAAACCCTAAACCGTGTTTTGCCTGCGTGCCACGTATCTGCCTGCACGCATGCAGTCTCTCGGTCTCTCGGCGGTCGCGGTGTCTCCAGCCTGTGAAACACGACATGACAGCGCAGAACATGAGTTTCATAGGTATGTCAGAGTCGAAACTAGCCGTGTGCTGGAGGGGAATGGAAAAGCGAATTCAGCAGACGGTATCTTTTATGTGCTGAGACTTCGTGGATCCTGCTGAGGCAAGGGCAAGCTCACCATGTCAGAAATCAAGCGTCGTCTGCAGACGTTCTACAAGGCGCGGAAGACCCTGTCGCGAGCTCGAAGCATTCTCATCTGAACCCCTACATGCGTGCGATCAGTTCTGTACTACTGTACCGGTACGCAAAACTTTGCCATCGTCCACCACCGTAGCCCGGTAAGGCCTCACATGTTTGTCCATACGGAGTCCATACAGATAGGACATAGGAAGTTCGAGCTCTTGCAATGGCACTTGCTTGGCAACACACTGCCCCGCTTCTATCCAAGCCTAACGAGCACTGGGGCACACAGAGAAAACCATCGATGATCACAGAAGACTGACCTCACAGTTGTTGTCTGCTCTTGGGGTGAGGGCTGCGTGGCCAACGCTTCTGCTGTTTGTTATGCAGTTTGAGCTCCTTCTTTTTTCCCTAGGGCCCTAGGTCCCCATACCAGTTCGATAGGTCAGTGAGATTTTATGACATGATGTCATTGCAGCATGCAGCAACGACGCCTGCACTTGGACTTGCGAAAACCGGCTTGTCATGCCCGCGGTATACTTCAATGCAATGTGTGCCTCACATTACATATCCTTTAGACCATCGCACAGCCAAAAGATTGCACCTTTGTTCAATCTTCCCGGCGACTGAGTTCCGACACCTTGCAGATTCCCCAACCCAGACCCCACTACAGCCCCTGCATGTTCTGCAGGATATCACAACCAGGGAGGTGAAGTTTCTGCTGAGCCTTGGACGTCTCGGATTTCGGAGTGGGAACCTTTCAAGTTTCCGGATACTCTTGGTGCTCGGCTAAGCTGCAGAACGGTGCATTCCGAAAACGAGTTTCAGGGTCGCAGGTTTTGTTACAGGCGGACATTATCTTGACCCGAATTCCCTCAAGCAGCACCCACGAAAGTAAGCTTATGTTCGACTTGCCGTTGACGGCTGTGTGCTTCCGTATGATTCGGGCAGGTGCCGGCACGTTCTCGCAAGCACGAAAGAAAGCTCTGGGCGCGCGAAAATTGAGTGTGGTACTATAGGGGCCTTAATAACCTACTATACTATTTAGGGGGGTTCCTTAGTATAGGTGTATATACGTATAGTATACTAAGCCCTAAGCCCTAAACCCTAACCTGATAGAATCAGTATAATTCTACGTATAGTATAATAAGCCCTGAACCCTAAACCCTAACCTGATAGAATCACTAAGGCCCCTGTAGTAATTGAGTCTCAGGTCCCAGCTCTCTTACTGCTGCTTGTACTGCCACCCGTCTTCTGCTCATCCTGGCGTTTCCTCTTCTGCCGCTGCTGGTGCTAGGGGTATGATAGGGTTTAGGGTTTAGGGGTTTTGTCATTGCCCCAAGACCAGTGGCAAAAAAGGGATTTTGTGATTCGTGTCGACTGGAGAGTGGGGTTGTAGGCAGGGGGAAGTGGTGATTCGCCGTTCATTCCTCGACCTGTGGACCCGCTTCTCTCCGTGCAGTTTCCACGACTCATGGGAGATCTGATGGCTTCACCTGCATTTTTCGAGAGTCTGTTGAACCTCAGGATCTTTTTCAGCTTCTAGTTCATCCGTGTGCTTTGGGACCAGCCGCGTTCTGTTTCAGAGCTGTTCGCGTCACCGAGGAACAACCAGCCGGAGATCACCTTCGACGTGCCCGGACTCGGATGGTAGGATTTCATGCTGACGTGCATTGATACGGCCTGGAGTTTCAGGTTTTCAGTTGTTTGGGCTTGTTGAATTGACATCGAACTTGAGTTGCGGAGCATGCCAAGGAGCTGTATGCACTCCTCAAGGACAACCAGCTGACGCAGCTCGGCGACGCTAATGTCATTGCTTCGTTTAAGTCCACCATCGGCTTCGGCAGCCCACCTGCCGCAGGGGGTTGCACGGCCATGTACGGAACTCTAAGCCCTAAGACCAAGGCTACCATGCGGATTTGGACACAAACCCCGAAGCCGGCATTGCCTGTGACATAGGAGACATCTGCGAACAACACAAGCGCAGGAAAGCGGTCCTATGATTTTTCTTGCCAACCTGGGCAAACAAAGCAACTCAATCAGATTGCTTTCAACAGGAACTTCGACCCAGTCAAGGAGGCGTTCAAGGTTGGGTGTGTCCTTTGCATGCTCTGGTAGGCTTAAAGCACGGGTGTGAAGTCCAAGCATTGAAGGGTCGCACGGCACTGTCGATGTTTGCGAAGCTGTTCCATGCACCCCAGAAGACTAGAATCGCCATCAGTGCCAGCATGACCTGAACGGAGCTGCTGCTGCATGTGCTACTGGGCCTGTAACAGCAGAAGTTTTCGAGACGCAAGCACAGCCATGGCGATCAGCATCTCCTTTGCTGCCACCCTTGCTGACTGTCCCGAGCACTGATTTGCCGTGCCAGCTGATGACTTCGCACGTGGTCTTGAAACATGTGGCATGTGTGTGTTTGCGTGTCTTCGATTCTTGTCACCTCTAACATCGCGATTGCAACAGGAATTGGCTCAAAGGGATGCCAAAGGCATCTTCCGAGTTGAGATAGGGGCAGCTCTAGGCTCATGGATAGCTCCAAGTTCATCCAGCTGCCGCCGAAGGGGCCAGATGCCCCATCCATTCTTTTCCGAAGTTCCTTCCAATCTGGCCTTTTCTCCATCTTCTATTCCATCGGCAGGACACCGCTCTACCTTTGGTCAGCATCAGTACGGAATGGGCATATCCGGCGAATCACCGACGAAGACATCGGGTCAGCCGCCTTGGAAATTGCCGGGAACAACGTCAGCACAACTTCTGTGACTTGTCCGGAGCAATCAAGACAGACGCTGGGCATTAAGATGCCCTTTCTGGTCTTGTTGGTGAAGAACTTACACAAGCAACTTGGCTCCTAGTTAGTAGTTGTTGCTTGAGATGCGGCGAAGAAGCCGTATGATGGTTCAAACCCACGTGTTTACGATTGTTTGCAAATATCGGCTGAACGACGGAGCCAGTGAGACAGGTCATATCCGTGCGGGAGCATCGTAGCTAACATCATGACCTGTATCCGATGCAAATCCCATGCAATGCATTCCCCAAGCCCACATGGATAGTTGTCAAAATTACGGTTCCCTTTTGGGTACCCTAATAATAGGTGCCGTATTATAATCGGGACCCAAAAAGGGACCCTAATTTTGACAAGATTCCCGAGGTACTTCTGTTTCGAAGTCGAGGTGTTGGACGACACAGGCTGAGGGTTTCGTCTGCCGTTGATACGGCTCAGCATCTGCTTTCGGGTTTTTCGATTCCAAGATCTGGGTTTAGGGCTCACGTGGGCGAGACAAGCCGCTGACACCTCAGAATAAGAGTGAAGTGATTACGCCCTGATGACAGTGAAACTCGAAAATTCGAAACCAGCTCTGGCATCCAGCTTCGCCTCCCGATCGCTGTGCTGTTCGCCATCAGGAACCGAACATGGACGTCAGGTTTTTCCGTGAGCGCAAGATTCATCAGCGTGTCCTGGTCTAGCATGTGGCGCTTAGGGCCGAGGCTGACGCCTTGCCCTCTTGCTCCCCGTTTTCGAGTATTTCGTAGATGCTGCTCCGCTTCGCGGGGAGGGTTGATGCTTTCGCATTACCTGACAGGCAGGAAGCGACGGTTCAAGACGAGCACGTTCAACTCCGGAACGAAGGCCCGAGATGCAATTGATGTGTCGTTGCTCGCACACTCTCTCAGCTCTTCAGCAGAGATCGACCTGGAAGAACTGCATTTGCTGCTGGCCCCACCGCTGAACCCTTTCGGCCCTGAACCCTGGAACCAACAGTGGCAGCAGCACTCTCCATGGCATGGCTTTCAAAAATGGAAGCTGTCTTCAAGTATATACAGTGCGAGCCTGTAATGTAGACAATGTGTTGATGGGAAAAAGTCGGTTACGTGGCGGTAGTAGGGCTTAGTCGTCGGCAGCTTCATTGGTTGTATGTCTGAGAGGAATGAGATTGCAGAGTTTCAGACTTCACTGCCTTTGGAGTGACCAGTTTTCCGGTGTGCGCTCCCTGTCTATCCCTGTCTAGCATGCTGGGAGTTTCGCCTCGTGTCGAGATGTCGAGCCTGGATGGAGTCCCTCGTAGAACTCTTTATGCATAGTACGATGCATTATAGCAGAGAGACGGAGGGAAGAGACAGAGACAGGCACCGAGAGACAGACAGAGACAGGCGGACAAACAGAGAGACAGACAGACAGACAGACAGACAGACAGAGACAGCTAGAGAGACAGACAGACCGACAGACACCTAGACAGACAGCCAGCCAGACAGACACACGGACACACCGACAGATACCGACAGACGGGGCGGGGGTCTGTGACAGAACCCTTGTGCCCTAGACGAAGAAAGATGGCCAGAAGACCGATGGACAGACAGCAGACACCAGACTCGGACAGACAATGGCAGATTGCCAGCCAGCCAGCCAGCCAGCTAGCCAGCCGGCGAGCGAGGCGGGCAGGCAGGCAGGGAGGCAGATAGACAGAAGGAGAGACAGGGCAGAGAAAGAGAGCGAGATTCAGAGAGAGAGAGAGAAAGACAAAAAGAAAGAAAGAAGAAAGACTAAATTCACACTCGCTCAACTAAGCCCAATACGGGTAGGCCAAGTGCCCGGGGGGGTTGACCCGCCCTGTATGCCTGGGAGAACAAGCAAGAAATAGTGTCCTGTCACAGTACCCTCATGCCGAAAGAAGCTGGAGTCGAAAAGGCCCCCGCAGATAGAGCGCATGTCTGAGGCGTCTGCAAGAACCAGGTCTTATGTTCTTCTTGGCTATGGGGTGAAGCAAGTGCAAGAATCGTAGCTTCGTCTCTGTTCGTATTCGTCTGAAAGAAGCAGCCATGTCTCCAACAATCGATCTATCCATCTGTCGACCTGTCTGCTGACTTGTGCGTAGTCATTTGTTTGCCAATGTTGTTCGTTTGTTCCTTCGTTCGTTCGTTCGTTCAGCCAGTCATTCCCACATGATTTCGTTCACTCGCATTCGTTCACTCGTGGATTCGTTCGTTCATGTCATATGTACATTACCGCAGTATATATGGAACATAAAAGCGCTGCTCATGTCTGTATGCAGACATTCTCACAAACGTACAAAGGAAGGATGTTTGCTTGACAGGTCGGACCATTCAACTGTTCCATGCCCCTTCGCCTGGACGAGGGCTGGAACCAGGTAGGAGTCCGGTAAGAGTTTCGGAAGGTTCGAGGGACCCTAGCATAGAACCAATAAGTAACAGGATGTTGAGTACTAGGACTGCTATAGAGCGCGGGCCCAATGAACAGTAGGATCCTGATTATCAGGATTCCTGCAGAAGAGGGCCAGGCTTCGGGACTTGGAGCCTTTGCTTCGTATAGAAGCTTTGTCCTGGTTGGCACTACCTGTTCGACGGCTCCTGATTGCAAGTATAAGCTAGTTCAGCCCAAACCCTGTCCCAAGCGTCAAGGCCCCCAACGTTATTCCTTCTCAGCTTGGGCGGGCATTTCAGTATGCCATGCCCTGCTCATTGATCACGCCTAAGTGTCGGAGTCAACTCCTTGTCTGGGGTCCTCGTTAAGGGCCCTTTGGGGTCCAGGGCCTATGGGCCATACTGATCATATAAAATTTGATGGTCTACATCACGAGTCCGGTATTCGCTGCAACTCCCAAAGTCAAACCGCCGGCAGGTGATGTTCAACCTCGCCGACTTCACTCAGCGCGCGTACGGCACGAACTATGTGGACACCTGTCGCAGACTTTTCGACCACGGTTGATTGAACACATAAGGCATAGATGCTTGCTGGACAGTGGAAGCAAGGGCAAGGTCATTGTTAAACGATCAGCAGACAGATGCTCAATGCCAAAACAAGATGATCGAGATCAACAAGAAAAGAGGAAGTCAAGAAAATGATTGTCCAGGCTACCAAAACTGAGTTTACCCGCGGTTGTTCAAGCATCCTGTTTAACATCAGGCATCCTAACCTGAACCCCACGCCCATGCAGGCTCTGCTAGCAATACAAGTGCAGCTGAGAAGTTGGCCAGACATACTGTCGGGATCTTGGCGACGGCCGCGGGAGCGGGTTTTGGTTCACCTGACATATCGGCTGAAAGCGAGACGTGAGCATGTGCACCTTTACAAATCTATACACAAACAACATGTACATTTACGTATTTGTATACACACATACACATACCTACACATACACGTCTATCCCAACGAACGAGCTGATGAACGGTGTGTGAAGCTGATTAGCTGCACTTCTCGCTTGAAAGCTTAAAAGCCAAGGAAACTTGCCGCATCACCATCAATGCAGCTTGGCAAAAATGTTAGGCCGGGAGAGGCCCTTTGGTATGAACTTGGGTTTGCCGATCTCAAATCTGGGAAGTATAGCACCATCCAAGAGTGGCTGGGGAAGTCTGAATGACAGAGTGCTTGCTAGACAGCTGCTAGTTAAGACAGTCGCCAACCCATGCATTGTTCCACTGCATCTGAAGCCTTTGCAGTGCTGTTCCCCTCCGGTGCATAGCTGCGATCGCTGAAGTGTCTGGAGGCCAACTGCAGGCTGCGACGCATCTTCTTCATGGATCGGCTCTATGCAAGTGAGGCGCGAATGCTCCTGCTCACAGATTGTTGCTTCGAACCCTTTTGTGCGTCTTGCTGGCCTCATTCATGCCTACATTCAGTAACGCAGAGGCCTTTGGAGACGAGCCGCCCCGAGCTGCCGTAGCTTAGACAAACTAGGATCAATGGTGAAGTCTTTGCCATGGTGGGGAGTCGCGGCATTCTTGCTTGTCGCGATGGACTTCGACAACATCGATATCGAAGATGTCGTCGGTGCCAGCGTCATCGGACGGGATGTCGAACCGCAGTTCTTCGAGGCACGTAGGTGGGTGGGTTCAAGGGTACGGTCTGGCTGTATGTCCCAACTGCAACATGCCATCTACTGCCTTCAAAAGCCCGCGTTTGCTTGCGTTGCGCTTCTTGAAATGCTGCTGAGCCGACAGGAGACAGCTCGCAGATTGGCCGAAGAAGGATGGTATCAGCCAGATCCGGACGAGTTCGACTTTTCAGCAACTTCTCCACCCAGCGAGTTCCAGTCGACTTCTCAACCCAGTGGGGTGCTTTCCGATGACGGCCA